ACCTCTTTTAATTATACTTAATTAATAAACCTTTTAATACATATATTCCGGTATACATGTGTACACTTAATTGTAATTTATTTATGTAAGTATTTTTATTTAATGTTTTTTTTTTTAATTCTTATTAACTTATTTTCACTTATGTGCCGCCTACGATTGCGTTAGCGATAAGACCTCCTTCTGTACTTCTCTTTCTTTAATATATTGTTATATTTTTCTATATATCTACTTTTAATGTTGGTGCAATAAAGGATTATAAATAAATAAAGAAATATATTTTTTTTCCTCTAATCTATATATATAACACAACTATACATATAAATAAAATTGGAGTGACTGTTTGTAATATTGAAATAACCGTTTTTTACTACATGCATATGAATACATACACCAAAATAACATTTTTTACAATTTCTGTCTGTCTGATGGTTCCGGCTAATCTCTTAAATGGCTGGACTGGTTTTAATGCGACTTTTATTGGCAGATAACTGATATAATAAGGAGTAACTTGGGCTAACTTTATTTTAGATAAATAAAGTTAAATTCCACGCGGATGAAGTCGCGTCTTCAGCTAGTAAGAAATAAATCTAATATTTGTACGAGGATTGATTGTGGTGTTGGCAGCCCTGGTTCCACGCCCGGCAGCTATCAGATGCGGTGTTTCATACATCCTCGTGTTTTTCTTTAATAAAATGTTTCACTTAGGACTCTGAACGTTCCCGTATCGTTAGGAAGCGGTGGGTGTTATGCAAAAATCATTTATCTCGATACCACAGCATCTATAAAGCTGTCCTTACCAATATTACAAATACAAAAGTAACTCTGTTTGTCTAGCTTTCACGCCTAAACTACTGAATTCGCCAAAATTATTTAAGTGAAATTTGGTACACAGATAGTCTAGACCAGTGGTTCCCAAGTGGTCTATATCGACCCCCAGGGGTTTATGACAAACGTAAGTGGTCTACGACAGCGGTCATCTTGTTGTTTTTACTTTATGTTTTTAACACTAAACTTTACTACAGTTAGAAATTTACAAAAAACCAATACCAGGGAAGAATGGGGTGGTCTACCCAAAACCGAAAAATATGGCAAGGGATCTATGACGCCAAAAAGTTTGGGAAACATCGGTCTAGACCCTGAGAAAGGACATTAATGCGTAAAAATTTTTTTAACGCGAAAAAAGAATTGTGAGGGGTTGAAAAGGGAAAGGTTGTATGGAAGAATCGTCATTTTTAAAGCTAGATGCTTGAAACTTATTTTTAGCTTTTGATTGAATGTATATAAAAAAAAGGGTTAAAAGGAGATAACGGGTGGTAGAGGTGTACCGTCATTTTTAAAGTTAGTACAGAACAATTAACACGGCGCCATCTAGTTCCACGGTAAGCAGAGCTTATTAAGCATACTAAACAACTGATATAAATATTTAGATATTTTTTTGAAATACAATCATAATATACATATAAAATACCCAAACCGATACAATCAATCATGAATACAAATGTCTGTACTACACGAGGAATCGAACTCGATCCCGTCGGAAGTAAGGCGGTGTGCTAAACCACTGAGCTACCGAGACCTTTTAAAATGTCATATAATTCTGCTCCTCTACGTCATCTCGAGTAGATATTGTAGATTGAACTATAAATATTGACATTTATGATAATATAGTGGGTAGCGCTGTATATAAATATATCGTCAGGTCGTCAGTAAGCCAGGTATTACTAATAGGGTTCAATTTTACATATATAAACTATCTTAATTTATATTAAACTGGCTACTCGCCCTGGCTTCGTACGGGTGTGTGAAATAGAAATAGAAATAATCTTTATTCAAATAAACATAATATAAGCACTTTTTAATAATCAAGTTTATTGATTTTACCGCTTATTCGGAATGACTCATCACAAGAAGAATAAGCAAGAAACTTGTGTGTTGCTCTTTTAAATAAATACTGATATAATTATATTTAATTAACAATAAGGATTAGGCATGCGACAATCAACATAGAAACCGCTACGCATTTAATCTCTGTTCTGTCAGATAACATTGTGAGCGCTATGAATTTTAAGTTAGACATTTTCTACAAAAACATTATTATCTTTTATAAATTCTTCAATTTTATAGTAAGCTTTTTTACAAAGTAAATATTTTATAACACATTTGAATTTTTTTCTGGCGAATTGAGTACAGACTCTGGGAGTTTGTTGTAAACCCTTACGCAATTTCCATAAAGCGAATTACTAACTTTCGTCAAACGGCACTTAGGTAAAACTAGTTTGTTGACATTACGTAAGCTTTTATTAGTGTAGTCATCTACTTTTTTAGTCTATATTATACAAGTATTCTACATATAAACCTGTCTCTTGAATAACTGACCATTTGTTAAAAACTGCATTAAAATCTGTTGCGTAGTTTAAAAGATACATACTTATTCTTATAAGTATGTATCTTTTAACTGTCTTCAGTGAAAGTCGTTATCAAGTAAGTATTTAGTGTCATATTACACAAAAATTTAAAAAAATATATACTGACTGCGAAATAAAACTACTTTTTATGGAAGCAAAGACATGAAAAGCGTACAGCCAAATTTTGACGCACTGAATCCCCAGTGTAGTAAATATAATGCAATTGCTTCTAGAAAATACTGGTAAGACTGCTCTTTACAGTTGTTAACAAAAATAAAAAGGTTTTTATGGCGTTGGTAACAAGATTGAATGTACCATGTCTGAGTCGACGTGATGTGAAACCACTAATACTATAAACCTGAGTCAATTTTATTTATTTATATATCTAACTTTAACTTTAACCAATAACAATAATATTCATATTGTTAATACTAGATTAATTTAAAGACAAACTTGCTGTTCCTAAGTATCATTTAGAAAAATCAATGAGTCTTTTATGGGAATGGGTATAAAAATTTACAATAAGACACCAAAGGATATACTGGAATTCTGTCAAATCATATTTAATGAGCAAAGCGTATTACTCACTAAACGTTACTTGAATGACGAGCGTGCATGGCAATTGTTGTTCATATATGGGATTTTCATTTAATGTTAGACATACACACGATATGACACACCTTGTTTGGGAAACTACTCTGCTACCAAAATGTTAGGGAATTTACTCTCAGCGTCAGTTTCGTACCTGTATGGTTCTGCGGATTTCTTGGGCTTCAGGGTCTCGAAGGTATCTTCGCTAGCTTTCCAGTTTCACAGTAGGTTTCACAGTAGGTTTAACACAGTTCTAATTTATTTTAATTCACAATAAATGCGCGCGCGCGTCAAGGCCGCTGTACGGTCCGTTTGTTACTAGTTAAGGGAGGGGAAGGGAATGCGCGGGAACAGAAAACTAACGGACTCTAATATAATATAATATCTGTGCTTACGATGATACAGGGTAGATTTTGAACACACCTATACAAATATACTTTGTAAATAAATGAATTAAAAAAAAAGAAATTCAATTGAGTTTTTGCCAGTTCTTCTCAATTACATACTGAACTGGACGGTAGAGAAAAAATATAATATAAAAACTTTGACGTTCATAAGCGGCTAAAATATCCTACATGAATAAATGATTTTTGAATTTGAATTAAGGGTGACGCAGCTGGAGTCGAGTCACAACGCGTTTTCAAGGCTTTTATGGCCTGGTCCCCACCTACATGCTGACCATCTTCATGAAGGCTCCTTCATCTTCCTTCACTTCTGGCAGAAAGGGGCGTATCGGTGCTACCGTGGCAGCTTTCCGTCATCAGCGCCATGACCAGTTATTAATTTATATGTAATTAGACGGCTTCGGTCCTTTACTTCCTATGGTCATAGTGCAAACATTTGTATTCATGAGTATTTTTGTTTGTATCGGTCTGGGAATTTTCTATGTATATTTTGGATGTAATTACAAAAAATATCTAAGTATTTATATCAGTTGTCTAGTACCTACAACACAAGCTCTGCTTACTGTGGAACTAGATGGCGCTGTGTTAATTGTCCAGGGGTTATTATTATTTATTACATGTATAAGGTATTTTGTGATATAGGCTATTAGTAACCTGAAATAAATAAATAAAATAAATAAATATAAAAATATAGGAACATCTTTGTGACCAACTCCTCAGTTGCAGTGGTCTAATACATACTCTAAAGCCAATAAAGCAGTTTTAGAGTTGAAACCATTGTGCTCTTGTATATAGCTTCATTCACTCCCGGGGGGGTATAAAATCTCAAATTACATAAAATGTTGGCGTCCATTGCTGACTATGTATGTCTTCTTTTGAGTTGTGGAAATGTTTTTAAGAAGTAACTGGACTTGGTTAATGTACAATTTAATTAGAACATTTACTTACATTTTGTGTTGCTGTACTTACTTAAGAAAATTCACACAGCGCCATCTAGTCGCAATTTAAGTTGAGCTTGTGTTATGTACTAGACAACTGATATAAAAATATATACATGCTTTTTTTGTAAATACATTATCACTACATAGTATAAAACAAAGTCGCTGTCGCTGTCTGTCCGGCCCTATGTATGATTAAATGTTTAAAACTACGCAATTGATTTTGAAGCGGTTTTTTTAATACATAGTGATTCTAGAGGAAAGTTCATATATATAATACATGTACACCCGTGCGAAAACGGGGCGAGTAGCTGGTTATATATATATATATATAAAACACCCAGACCGATACAATTATATTCATGAATACAAATGTTTGTAAAGTGCAAGAAATAAATATTTTTTATAGTATATACATATATAATATACACAAGATTGGAGTGAAAGGAATTGTTAGTAATGTGGATTAATAAACCCTTTGCTATTAAAGTACTATATCAGGTTGCCTCCACGCGGTTCGCCCTAGACCCTGTTATGGCAATTGTATTAAAAAACGTTTACCACGTTTTTTTTTATTAAGTCCCCGTGATTTTTCCTAATTATACGTATAAATAATGAACGAGTCGAATTTAAAACAGTTATAATAATTATTTGTATTATATAAACTTTATATATTATACAATACAATTCTGACTTTCAATTTTGAGATGCATCCATTTTCCTTGCCTTCAATATATTCCAATCCGCTTCGTTACACCGAGCTACTGTATAGACGAGTCTGCAGGAAATTTAAACGCTTTCTTTAAAAATCATTTTTATTTCGTACTACTCTAATGCTGTTGGCCGCAGCTGGCCTTTACAGCTTCACAGAACGTTAGGGGGCGAGTGCAGATGGCACTCCAAACCCGCGGAAGGACTTATGGAGCGGCTGAAGGCCAACTCCTGCCTGACGTATATGACTTTAGTCTGAGGGTACCACTAGGGGTTCGAACCTCGGCTTAAGCCGTCGTAATTTCGATCCCCGTTTGAATTGGACGGGGGATCGATCGGAGGGGGTTTAAAAATCAATATGATGCTGTCATATTAATATTATTACTTTTGATCAAACTATCAAACTTTTATTGTTTTAACTAGATTTTGTCTGCGGCTTCGCTCGCGTTAATTTATCCCCATAGGGGTGGAATTTATCAAAATCCTTTCTTAGGGGATGCCTACGTCATAGTAGCTTTATGCATGCAAAGTCTCAGCCCGATATGTTTAAAATTGACAAAGTTTCTAAGTTTCAAAAGTGGAAACTTTCATCATCTATTTATCCCCTTGGGGGTAGAATTAATCAAAATCCTTTCGTAGCGGATGCCTACGTCATAACATCAACCTGCATACCACATTTCAGCCCGACCCATCCAGTGCTTTGGGCTGTGCGTTGATAAATCACTATGTCAGTCACCTTTGAGTTATATATATTTAGATACCTTTATTCGAAGGAATTGCATTGCATTTTTTTTCATTAGTAGGATCGTTTTCGTCTCAGCCGCTTGGTATGGTGTCGCTTGGTGCTACTTGTGCTTTGCTGAGCTTGCAAGTTCTATGATCAAAATAAAAATTTATCATAATCATTATATTAATATATAGGTAAAGCAAAAACTTTATACCCCCTTTTTAGGGGGGGGAAGGGGATTGTTAGCAATGGGAACTAGTAACTCCCATTGTTAACAATGTACCATGTTAGGTCGACCTCCACGTGGTTCCCCCTGGAAACCATCGTGATGAATTCTTGGTGAATTTGTCACGATGGGCTAACTGACCTGACCTCATGCTCATCTTGGCATCCTCCACTGGTGCCCCGCCAGCGTAAACCGTTAGCGCAGGCAGGTGCACTATTCCATTATCATACACAAAAAAAAACCCCCTTTTTAGGAAAATTGCACGAATAGAGTATGTACTTATGCCACTACACATCCATGTGGTTGTAGCCCACTCATGCACAAACGAAATATCTCCTTTGGAAAGTTTACACTCTTTCTCGAGGATATAAAAACCATCGCTCATAAGAATATCCTTCAATTCTTGTCCCTGACGGGTCCTAGGTAGGGAACTCTGAAAAAGGGCGAGCAAAATAGATCTATGTAGGTCGCAGTGCTACAAACATCTGACAATAGCCCAAACAACCCAATAAAAAAATGTACTTATTGAGACAATGGAATGGTGCACCCTCCTGCGCTAACGGTTTACGCTGGCGGAGCACCAGTGGAGGATGATAAGATGAGCATGAGGTCAGGTGAGTTAGCCCATCGTGGTAAATTCACCGTGAATTTATCACGATGATTTCCAGGGGGGAACCATTTGCGGAGGAGTATGTATGTATTTGACACACATGCATATATACTCTTTAGTTTATTGTTAAAATATATATTGAAATAAATTACTAAAGAGGTTTAAATAACTATTTTTGTTGGAGATTTCAATAATTGATACTATTATAGGAAATAGTGGGTGACATGCAAATAGCAGTAAGTAAAAATATATATTTTTTTTATAACGCAGGGGACAAACGAGCATGCGGCTCACCAGGTAAATTGCAAGTGAGTTGTCGGCCTTTTAAAAATGAATGAGCTCTTTTCTTAAAGGTTTCAATATCGTATCGTTTCGGAAATACCATTACTGGAAGGTGATTCCACAATGTGGTTGTGCGGGGCAAAAAGTATATAATTATAAAAATAACTAAGAAAATAATATTAATTAAGTACTTGTAACGATTGTTTAGTACCCACAACACATAAAACATATCGGCTTCATAATACACGTAAGTTATCCCATCCATTACTTCTGGGAGTTGAACTGGCTACCCTCCGTATGTCAGGGGTCTTACGTGTTGCCCCACAGGGGGGATTTAGAGGAGAAAATATTGTGAGAGCTCTAAACTACCTTTCAATAGCGTGTAAAATACGTGGAACAAGAAAAACTTTAGAGTAGACATTTTTTTATTTTCCTAAACTAATGTTACAAAGAAGATTGTAATGTATTAAAATATATATATTTAACACGTTGACTGTAAAGATAAGTTTTAGCAATCTAGCCTAATATATTATTTATTAAAAACACTAATTCCAGTGCACAGTTATCAAAAAGCAAGTTTCTAAAGGTACACAAACTTTAAAATGTTATTTTATTTCTTGAAATTGAATTATAGTATGATTGTATCGGACTGTGTGTGTCCTGTATATAAAAATGCATGTAAGTATTTATATCAGTTGTCTAGTACCCATAACACATGCTCTGCTTAGCTTGGGTCTAATCGTTGCTGTGTGAATTATCCAACTTCATTATTATTGTTATGCATTATTTCATTATTCGTGGTTTTCTAGCCTTGGTGGACGCAGGTAAGAAGTAGTAGCAGGTTCCCACTTTGCGTAACATCTATGATTGGTATATTGAGTTCCAGTGTATGATGATATAAGTATAAAACATTACAGCCGATGTGCTGTAATGTTTTATACTTACACATGCTCTGCTTAGCTTGGGTCTAATCGTTGCTATGTGAATTATCCAACTTCATTATTATTGTTATGCATTATTTCGTTATTCGTGGTTTTCTAGCCTTGGTGGACGCAGGTAATAAGTAGTAGCAGGTTCCCACTTTGCGTAACATCTATGATTGGTATATTGAGTTCCTGTGTATGTATTTCATCGGCTGTAGTGTTTTATACTTATATGATAAAGTAGTAACTTTATCATCAGCTTATTTGTCATTTTAAATTATTAAAAAATGTTAGTTCAATGACTACTCTAGCACTATTAGTAATCCAATGGAGCTGCTGATAGTCAATAGTCAACTAGGGGCCTGTACCTATCCGATTTTCAAGTAGTCGCATCGAATATTCTTGTAGAAAGATGGCCAGATTATGTACTTACATTATCACCGTCATTTTATTTGACGAGAACTGTGGGAATTTAGTAATGAGAATATATTGATATCACTGCCTATAATTATCATTACAACGCCTTTTTCTACTTCTTTAGGGGCCTATCCAGAAATCACGTGACAAGTAAAAGAGGTGGGGATCAACAGAGTATTTATGTATAACAATACTAACTGTGCCTGCGGCTTCACCCACGTTACATTTCATTAATATTTTTTAAGCCCATATGTTATTCTGATGCATAATCTATATTATTGTAAACTATCATCAAAATCTGATCAGTAGTTTTTGCGTGAAAGAGTAACGAACATCCATATTGAAACTATCGCGTTTATAATATTCTTAGAATTATTGAAAAAATACTCTGTAACGGGAGCGTATAGTTACTAAAATTGCGACTAACTTAATAATAACTCTGGGCAATCCACACTGAGCTATTAAATCAGAGGCTAAGTATAGCTTGTTTTATGAGTATTAAAGTTATTGCCCTATTATTACACATACAGACCACCTTTCTATTTCTATTTCTATTTCTTATATATAAAATTCTCGTGTCACAATGTTTGTTACCACACTCCTCCAAGACTTGGCTTGACTGATTCTTATGAAATTTTATATGCATATTCAGTAGGTCTGAAAATCGGCTATTATCAATTTTTTTACCCCTAAGTGTGGGTTGTCGCGTTGTCCATCCTTAACATTTTTTTTATTTTTTTATTATGTGGCATTAAATATACATACAACCCTAAATTTTCACTTTCCATCATCAACCCCTATTTTTTAATAGCGATTTTAATTTATATGACAAAACAACGTTTGCGACGTCAGCTAGTAAACTATTAGTGTGCGAAATTTCATACTCCTAAGTCCGCGCAATATTCGTGAAAAGGGGTACAAAGTTTTTGCTTCACGTATTAACACAAATCATTGTGTTAATACGTGAATATTTATGGAAATGGTATTTAGAAAACACGACGGATGAAAGACGACTGCATGCCACTGAAATACGAATGTTGAGTTGGATGTGTGGTGTGACAAGAATGGATAAGATAAAGAATGAATACATCAGAGGAAGTATGAAAGTGGCGCCGGTGTCGGAGGGGTTGAAGAGTAATCGTCTATCGTAGTATGGACATGTAATGCGTAGGAATGAAGATAATATTTTAAAGAAGATGTTACAAATGAATGTGGATGGTTATAAGGGCAGAGGAAGGCCAAAAAAGAGATGGATGGACTGTGTGAAAGATGATATGGTATGAAAGGAAGTAAATAACGCGATGACTGCGAACAGGGATGAATGGAAGAGAAAAACATATTACGTCGACCACAAATAAATGGGATAAGGAAGAAGCAGATGATGATGGTATTTAGAAAACTCACACTATAAATATCAAATCATTATAAATATCCTGTAAAATAGAAAACAAGATACACACACTAATGTTCCTCTTGACAACAATAGCCACGCCTCCTCCACGGCCGGGCTTCGCCCCCGCGGGCAGTGGTACTCGTCCCACTAGACACCTGTCCCGAGAGTAGTATGGATTGATATAATCACAGTTGTCATCTTCGGATGCTGCAAATAGTCAATATTTACAATAGATAGACCTGTGGGGGAGCAAATACTTATTAATGCCCCTTCGATCGATCCCTCGTCCAATTCAAACGGGGATCGAAATTACGACGGCCTTCAGAATAAAGTCGAACCCGTCAGGCGGGAGTTGACCTTCAGCCGCTTCCTAGGTCATTCCGCGGGTTTGGAGTGCCATCTGCACTCATATCATCCGGAGAAGCTGTAAAGGCCAGGTGCGGCCAACAGCGTTAGAGTAGTCCAAAAAAAGGGTTTTTTTATTGGATGACAATGGAATGGTCCATCCGCTTGCGCTAACGGCTTACGCTGGCGGAGCACCAGTTAATAAGATGAACATGAGGTTAAGTTAGCCCATCATAGCAAATTGACCAGGAATTTATCATCGCGTGGAGGTCATCCTAACATGATATGTTGCTAGCAATGGGGTTATTAGTACACATTACTAATAAGCCGCTTTCCCCTTAAAATTGGGAATAAGTGGTTTGTCCAATAAAACTGCAATAGCTTGGAAACCTAGTGTTGACTGTGTTTGATCGCCCAACAGTCAACACTAGGCTTCCAAGCTCCATCATATCAGCATAAAAATGGTACCATGACAGGTCAATGCGGTACCTCCTAACAATCATCGTTATTAAACCTAGTGTATATCCTACCTAGTTATTTTAAGGAAGTCCATTTCACTACCTACTCATCTCATCATCTACCCATCTCACACGTGCTAATTGTAGCGGAAATAAACAAAGTAGAATGTATATTACTTTGTTTATTTCCGCTACAATTAGCACGTGTGAGACCACAAACAGTCGCAGTTTGATCAAAGAATACTCAACAGGCCTCTAAGCTATATCCGAACTCCCAATGCCTGATGATGCCTCGTTCAGAGACGATACACGTGTCGCAATATGGATTTAGATTCCTGTACTCAAGTTTCCGCACTTAATATTTGTGGTCACATATGCAAAGAATATAAATCCATTAAATACTTATATCAAGCAGATTAAAGAAAAGGAGTCGTGTAGTATCAAGAACTAAAGAGATTGATTGAAGATCGTGGAAAAGGGCACGAGATCCACCAACAAGAGATAAATAGTAATGAAATTGCGAATGAATACTTACATTCTCTATCCTTCTCCCTGCCACTCTTCAATATACCAGGAAGTTTGTACCTAACTCTATTACTGCTTCTACTGCGACTGCGGCCGTCAGAGTCATCAGGTTCCGATTTAGAATGTAACCTGCACTTCTTCTTTTTTATGTTACCACTTTTACACTTGAGTATTCTAGAAGATATTTTATGTAAAGCTTAAGCTGTCAACTGTTTACTATTCAGGTAAACAGCTGGCCGCTTAATGGTAAGTTATATCCGTCAGCTACATACGAGTACATATGACGGCCTTGACGGTCTAGCGGTGTAGCATATAGGTTGACTTCAGATGGTCGCGAGTTCGATTCAAAATAAAAATGATTTTTTTAATCTCTGCACTAACTATTACCACTAACTGTTTTAACGGGACTTTCATTCGCAGATAGCTAAAATTATAAAGAGAACCTTAGGTTACTTTTATTTTAAAAATTGTACTTATCATCTTTATATATAAAAATTAAGTGTCACATTGTTCGTTCGCGATGGACTTCTAAACAACTAAACCGATTGCAAATTTGATTTGCACATTGTATGCAATTTGATCCAACTTGAAAGATATGATAGCTTACATCTCAATTTATAGTCGCAATATGCAAAATTATTGCAAATTATTTGTCTATTATTAGCCACAGCAACGCGTGGCCGGGTCTGCTAGTTATAAGGAAAATTCCAAGCGGACGAAATCGCGGGCAAAAGTTATAATAAAAATAACTTACGAAAGTTTCTTCTTCTTCTTTGTATTCTCAATAGAGCTAGACGTGTCATCAGTTTCAGAATCTATATACAAATGCGAAAATTTACCCATTTTTGTGAGACGAATCAGTACTGCGTGATGAATTGATGCTGTGATGATATGATAGTGATGATTAGCTGATGACATCCATTTTTTTAATAACTATATATATCCTACATTTTTCAGGATTATTAAGTTTGCTGATAAACTAGTTATACATAGGTTGGCTTTGTTTTTTAAGTGTCAATGAATAGTATTTTTTTTTATTGGATTAATAAACAGGTCATATTTCTTACATATTAAATTAATAGAAATAATCTTTATTCAAATAAACTCATTACAAGCACTTTTCAATAGTCATATTTTGATTCTACCACTCATTCGGAATGCAGATTCATCACAAGAAGAATGAGCAAGAAACTTGTGTGTTGCTCTTTTGAAAACAGAGTAAGAGGCATGTGATAATCAACATAGAAATCGCTACGCACTCATTATTAGTGTAATCAGATAATATTGTCAGTGCTATGGATTTAAAGTTTTTCTATTAAAAACATTATTATCGTTAACGAATTCTTCAATTTTATACTAAGCTTTTTGCAAAGGAAATGTTTTATTTGACATTTAAATCTTTTTTCTGGTAGATTTATAACAGACTCTGAAATTTTATTGTAAAAGCTATATGTTAATCATTATATTAATACGTGAAGGAAAAACTTTGTACCCCTTTTTACGAAAATTGCGCAAATGGAAGAGTATTAAATTTCACACACTTACAGTATATACTATGTAGTTATATCCGCGACTTCGTCCACTTAAAAGAGTGACCTTGACCAAATAATGAAATGTGTAGTAGTCTAACAATAAAAGTCAAATAAAAAAGTTTCATCGTTATTGAAACTCAATCAACAGCCTAAGAAATAAGTTTCAAGCTTCTAGTTTTGAAAATGACGATACCTCCATACAATATTTGATTTCCCTTTCAACCCCTTACAACCCTTTTTTCGTAATAAAAATTAGTATCTCCTTTCTCAGTGTCTAGACTGATCTGTGTTTGGTACACATTTCATTCAAATCGGTTTAGTAATTTTGGCGTTAAAGTGCGACAGACAGACTTACGTTCGCATTTATACATTATAATATTAGTATGTAATATTATGTTATCTGTGATATTAGTAAGCATTCTCGTTCATTCATCTACTAACGAAGCACTGAAAAGCTTTCAAAATAAATTAAATAAATATTATAATAAAGAAAAAAGATGAGAAAATGTCTGTGGAAAAATTTTAATATAAAAAATAAAAAAAATTATTAAAAAAGAAGCTTGCGCTTTCAAAATAAACTGAATTTCAAGAATTTTAATATTTTGAAAAAAGAACAACCCTACCAAACCAGCGCTTGGTTCCGTGCAAAACTCGCGAAATCATTGAATGGAGTAATCAAAAGAATTAGAAGCGATTCTAAATTTAGTGGCATAAATGATATGACCATTTATTTTTATCAAAGTGGGACACTAACTGTTTTCTTTTCGGACTTTTTTTTTATAACACAGAGGACAAACGATCATGCGGCTCACCTGATTGTAAGTGATTATTGGGCGGCACCCATGAGCACCCGCAACACCAGGGGAATTGCAATTACGTTGTCGGCCTTTTAAAAGGGAATAAGCTCTTTTCTTGAAGGCTTCAATATCGTATCGGTTCGGAAAACCTTTGCTGGAAGGTGATTCCACAATGTGGTTATGCGTGGCTAAAAGTAAACTACTCTAATGCTGTTGGCAGCAGCTGGCCATTACAGCTTCAGCGGACCATAGAGAACGAGTGCAGATGGCACTCCAAGCCCGCGGAAGAACTTATGGAGCGGTTGAAGGCCAACTCCCACCTGACGGATACGACTTTAGTCTGAGAGTACCGCTAGGGATTTGAACCTCGGCTCGGCATTGTCCCCGAAGACGGGAAACGGCCTGATGGTATGACCCTGGTCCTGTGGAAACTCGGAAAATGTTTAGTACGGGATGCCACGTGTGTGGATACATTGGCACCAAGTTATGTGTCTGGATCATCATCATAATTTTAAAAAGACAAATATATACGAATCAGGTGTCGTATTGGTTTTTACCATTTGCCGTAAAGAAAGTTGGGCCCATGGAGCCAGGAAGCCAAATTGTTTTTAATATATATTTCAGCGGGGCTCATCGAGGTTACTTGTGACCCGAGAGCTGGTAGCTACTTTGTCCAAAGGTTAAGTATGGCCATTCAAAGAGGCAACGCTGCCAGTATCTTGGGTACGCTGTCGAGGCAGCGTACCCAAGATACTGTCTCGGGTTCGCTGCCTCGATGTACCGCGTTGGATTACAATGATTGTTTTTTGTGATTGTTTATAATAGTCATACTCTATTTTAATAATTGCCAAATGAAATTCTAAATGTAGATCTGAGAATAGGTTATTATCAATTGTTTATACCCCAAACGATTAGGGTAGTCCTCTACTCTTCTTTATTAACAAAAAAATATAAAAAATTTTTATGTTTCGCCTTTAAAAAATACATAGATACAATCCCAAATTGTCAGCCTTCTACCATCTACCAATATTAATTATTACAGATATTATAATAAACTAGCTGTCCCAGCAAACGTTATTTTGCCATATAAATTAATATTGCACTTAAAAAATAGGGGTTGCTGATAGAAGGGTGAAAATTTAAAGTTGTATGTATTTTTTAATGCCTGTAAATTTATAATAAAAATTTTTTTTGGGGTGAGCCACCCTTAACTCTTAGGTGTTAAGAATTAGTTACAAACCTATTCTCAGACTTACTGAATATGCATATAAAAATTAATCAAAATCGGTCAAGCGTAGGAGGACTATAAACACGAAACTCGAAATTTTTATGTATTAGATTATACAAAACATGACGTTAGTCTATTTATTTGTTTATGGTCAATGGGAAAGACAAATTCAAACCGGGATTGTCCCGCCTAAACCAGGATGCGTAGTCACATTATGTATAACTGGAATAATTTAAAAAGTCGTCCGCTTGTGTATTCAAACAAGGTGTTCCGTATTAATTGGCCGAAACTTATTTGATACAGAAGTTCTTTTGTTTTAATAGAATTATTTGTTTTAAGTCGAGTTAACGCAATCGAGATTTGTTAGTATTTCATTAAAGACTATTGTTAACGACAGCAGCCCACGGTTTATTATCAAGAGAGAAACAAAAAAGAAGGTTTTTTTACTGTACACAATAACGAATTTATTATTGCTATCTATATATATACATATACATATATATAGAGAGAGAGAGAGAGCGAGAAAGAATAAAAATTAAAAAAGGTTGTTTATTGCCTTTTATGTTTTTCTTATCTGTGCACAATAATGATTTTATTATTATTATTATCTATAAAAATATATATATAGAGAAAAAGTTTTTTTTTTGTATTTGATTTATTTCTTCTCAAACTTTTTTTATTGCCTATGTTTTGTTTCTGCTCTGTACACAATAATGATTTTATTAATATTATAAAACAAAGATAAAGTGGTGATTATTTACTAAATGTGCGTGGAATAGACGACAAATGACGTATGTCCATACAAACTTTCATCCCGATAAGAGTAAATTTTTTATTAACTTTGAATGTTATATTTCATTTGACGACCTCGGTGGTCTAGCGGTCTAGCACACCGCTTTACGACCGATGGTCGCGGGTTCGATTCCTCGCACGGCACAAACATTTGTATTCATGAGTATTATTGTTTGTATCGGTCTGGGTGTTTTCTATGTATAATGTGTATGTATTAGTAAAAATATCTATGTACTTGCATCAGTTATGTAGTACCCGTAACACAAGCTTTAGATAGCTTAACTTGGGTCTAGATGGCGCTGTATGAATTATCCTGAGATTATTATTACTATTATTTGTTATTGTTAACGACAGCAGCCGTTGATTGTCAAGAAAGAAAGTAAGAAAGATGTTTTTTATTACCAACTATTTATTTGTTGTGCGCATTCACAATTAGGCGTTTTTATTTATGTAGATTTTAATTAGTATGTACTAATTAAAATCTACATAAATAAAAACCCCAAGAATATGAAAACATCCTGAGACTTTTGAACATAATAGAAAAATATTAAATACTACCTGTGCCCGGGCACAGGTTCACTCACTTAAAATTTATAGCCCATATTTTATTCTGAAGCTATATTACTGTGAAGTTTAATCAAAATCTGTTCAATAGTTTTAGTGTGAAACAGTAACAAATATCGATCCATACTCACGAACTTTGGCGTTTATAATATAAATAAGATAAAAGAAAATCGTTACCTAGGTATAACAGTAAATTCTCTGATAAGTCAGTTGGTAAGATAAGATACTAGTACTGATTAACTATTGAAATTAGATATTGATTATTATTTTTTTGTATATAAGTGGACGTAAATATAATATTGTCACAGTTCGACGCAATTCCGTGTGTGAAATTAGAATCAAGAACAAAACGGTTTTTACAATGACCGACGCTGAAATCATTGCGGAAATTAGAAAAAAACGAGAACTATGGGATGGGAATCATCCTCTACACAATAATAAGCAGGTAATTGCTGCTTCATGGAGGGATATTAAGGAGGAGTTGGATGTAAATGGTATATTTTTATTATATTATTCATATTTATTATACTAATAATAATCTCAAGACAATTAACACAGCGCTATCTAGACCCAAGTTAAGCTAGTTAAAGCTTATGTTATTATAATAATAATAATAATAAATACTCCATCAAGAACTTGCTCTGAAGTACGGCCTCGCGAATGAGAGGTTGCCGTACTATAAGTACGAGCCCCATCCGGTCCTCGAAAGCGACAGCGTCAGGCTCTACTGGGACCGATCCATCATCACGGACAGGACCGTTCTTGCGAACAAACCTGATATCGTGGTGATGGATCGGGCACTCTCGAGGGTGTTTTTGGTGGACATCACCATACCGCATGACGAGAACCTCTTGAAAGCCGAAACTGAGAAAAAGAGAAAATATCTCGACCTGGCTCACGAGGTGACCGAAATGTGGGGGGTGATGTCCACCGAAATCATTCCAATCGTTATATCGGTGAACGGTCTTA